TCTTAAGATGACAGGCTCATCTTCAGTACTGAAATACATTGCATAAGCTTCAAAGCCAAATTTCTGAAGTTATTCTACTTCTGATTCACATTTTTCATCGCAGAAAAGCAGAAAAACTTGGAACACGTTTACTTATCATTGATTAAAGATATGGTAAATTTTATCTTGGCCACTCTGACACATAATGATTCAGGATCCTTCAACCAATATGGCTCCTAAACCACAGTTTCAAAGAGCCTTTCACTTCTGTGCAAAAGAACCATGCTTACTACCAGCGAGTTTCTTGGACTTTGGTACAATCGGTCCCATGGCTGAAAGAGGAAGGCTGTTACTCAGATTAAAAAGCTGATATTCCATCAGCTGTAAGATTTGAAGGGCTCATATTGCACATATTTCCTTACATATTCCCTTACACGCACACACGAACAGCTCTTGAGACTGTGGCCTATTGCACATTATTCTCAAGCATTATTATTAATTATTCAAATTATCATATTAGTTGAACTTTCAACAGAGCAAGACTGAACTCATGAATCTGCCTTATACCGAGTCAAACCATCTGATGCATCAAGATCAGTACAGTCTACTCTGACCGGCAGTGGCTTTCCAGGGTCATGGGTAGAGATCTTTCACTTTACCTAGTAGCTGCCCCTAGGGTTGCCAACCCCCCCCGGTTTGCCAGGGGTCCCCCGTTTTGGGGGGGGTTCTACCCGCCGCCGGGAAGCCCCACCCCCAACATCCACAGCCACCCATCTTTCTCCCTTTAAGGGTGTGCAACCCGTGTTTCATCCCAAGCGCGAACTCCGCAAGCTTGCAGGGAAAAGCCAGCTTCGTTCTTAAAAGGGAAACGCAGCTTCTCTTAAAGGGGAAACGCTGGCTGCTGGCTACTTTAAGTGCAGGGAACTGCTCTGGAGATCCAGCGCACGGCGGGGGGGGGGGCAGACGTCCCCAATGTGACATCATCACATTGGGGATTCCTCACCCCTTCCAGGAACGCCCCCAAAGTCCCCCGCTGGGGGTGGAAGATGGACTTGGCAACCCTAGCTGCCCCTTTTAACTGGAGTGTGATGCCCCCACAGGTAGAGGCCACACCCCTCTGTGGAGTTGCCATCTTCTTCCCATAGTAAGGTAAAGGTTTCCCTTGCTCAAAAGCCAGTTGAATCTGACTCTAGGATTGCGGTGCTCTTCTCCGTTTTAAAGCCGAAGAGCCAGCGCTGTATGAGGACGTTTCCGTGGTCATGTGGCCGGCATGACTAAACACCAAGGTGCACGGAACACTGTTACCTTCCCATCGAAGTCGTACCTACTTATCTACTTGCAATTTCTTGCTCCAGTCACACTACCTCTCATCATCTCTGCATGCTCACACCAAGGTGCTGGGGCTGCTTTATTGGCCTAAGCACTTCTCCTCCCTGCTCCCTAAGCTCCTCTCCTGGTCATTGCACCCTTTCTGCAGGGTTAAGTCAGTGTGAGCCACTTCGACTGAGTCAGGTGGAACAGTTCCTACTGGCTTCTCTCGGGAATGTTGCTTTCCAAGAGGCAGGAGGCTTGCTAGAACCCTAGCCTGCAAAAGCCCCAAGGCTGACTAGCTAGCCACAGTTTCTTCCCAGCTTCTAGCCAGCTGCTCCCTTTACCTTTTTCAGCTATGGCCTTTTATCCTTCCTGCCCTTGGCCACGTCCAGTTCCTGCTCTCCTGCTTCTCCTCCCAAGCAAGCCCTTTCTCTCAAGGAGGTTTTTACACCACAGTAGTCCTTTGCTCCATAGGGTGATAGTACAGGTAGGCCTTCCTCCTGTCTGCTCCTCCCTCACTCTCGCACACCTAACTGGCTGTCTTCTTGGCTCCACAACTGAGCTGCTGCCTACTTAAGGGCCATTCCCCTGTTCCATCCCTTCCTCCCCAGGGATAGGATGTCCAGGTCTGTGACATGAAGATTCTGGGATTTGAATGTGGAAACTTCTACCTGCATAGCAGCTGTTCTGCTGCTGAGCAACTGTCCTTCTCCAGGATCTGCCCTAGCTGAGTCTTCATATAGAATAAGGACTCCTCAAGGGTTGAGGAGTCCCTGTTGTTGCCTCTATAGTAGAGACTCCCTGCACCCCAAAGCCTCCAAGGAAAGAACCCTTCTGTCTCCCCTACCACAGCAGGCTCCTGTTCAAGAGGTAGTGGAAAACAGAGGTGGAAACAGAGCAAAATGGAAGATAAGTCTATCAATGACCACTAGCCATGGTGACTGAGGGGAACCTCCATGTTCAGATCTTCTTATGTTCTTATGACCACAAAAAGCTAGAAATGTAGTTAAGAACCTATCTCTGTCTCTCCCCTTTCCTATCAAGTATGTTAGTTCCTAAACAAACCTTTATCTACTATATAATCAGGTTGTGCACCATTGCTGTGTTATTTACTCTGACAATAAAATCAAGGGTGGACTTAACCATCTCCAGCATGCCCAGAGTTTCCTCCATGACTCCAGGAATAAAGAAAGTAGATAACCAGGACTGAATAGGGGCCCTGGGAAGGAGCACATGACTGGCAGTTTAAGGCACTCCTCTCTTCAGTCTTACATAGAAGAACACCAACCTTTAACTGTTTTCAGGATCCAAAATCCAACCTTGGCTACAGGGAAGGTGGAGTAATCAGGTCCCTATAAGAAGCCTTCACTTCAGCTCTTGTGTTTGCTGGTTCAACATCTCCCCAACCAAGGTGATGCTAGTGCTGGACAGCTTCCTACTATCCAGCTCCTACACCAAGAGGGCCCCAGCCTTTCTCCCTGGTTGGCCAGGTAAAGAATGGGACAGGCCAGTTCAAACTCTGTGGACTGTTACCGAAGTTCAAGATTACCTACCTGTTTTAACAGTCTCCATAATTTTTTCCTCTTTTGCTTATCACTAGATTACCTTTAAATTTTTGACAATAAAATCAAGGGTGGACTTAACCATCTCCAGCATGCCCAGAGTTTCCTCCATGACTCCAGGAATAAAGAGAGTAGATAGCCAGGACTGAATAGAGGCCCTGGGAAGGAGCACATGATTGGCAGTTTAAGGCACTCCTCACTTCAGTCTTACATAGAAGAACACCAGCCTTTAGCTGTTTTCAGGATCCAAGATCCAACCTTGGCTACAGGAGAGGTGGAGTCATCAGGTCCCTATAAGAAGCCTTCACTTCAGCTCTTGTGTTGGCTGGTTCAACATCTCCCCAACCAAGGTCATGCTAGTGCTGGACAGCTTCCTACCATCCAGCTCCTACACCAAGAGAGCCCCAGCCTTTCTCCCTGGTTGGCCAGGTAAAGAATGGGACAGGCCAGTTCAAACTCTGTGGACTGTTACCGAAGTTCAAGATTACCTACCTGTTTTAACAGTCTCCATAATTTTTTCCTCTTTTGCTTATCACTAGATTACCTTTAAATTTTTTTAGAACAGACTTGCTTACCATGGACTTCCAAATAACATTTTCTCATGGGATCAATTAAAAATGTCTGCATTTTGCAGGGGTTTTCTTGGAGTTAGCTGAAGTCAAATCTATTGACCGTACTGCAATCTTTCCATGATGTTACCCAAATAGGCAGTTCCTAATTAGTGGTGGAAATTAGCTTGAACGGACACAGAGCAAGAAGCAGGTAACTGGGATCTCCACCAATGTATACCAGGATTTTCTCTTAGAAAACTTTCAAAATAAACTAATTGGAAGCTGTTTAGTTGAAAAATAATAAAAAGGCAAAACACATACACAAACACTCCTAAACATACAAACTACCTAAGAGAAACTGAGAGAAGAGGGGTTCTGACCATCAAGGCCTTGAGCTGTCTGGGACCCACGTATCTTCGGGACTGCCTCCTCTGGTATGTCCCCAGGACAGCGTTACACTCTGTTGAGAACAACCTGCTGGTAATCCCTGGTCCCAAAGATACCCAGCTGTCCTCGACCAGAGTCAGGGCCTTTTCAGTCCTGGCTCCAACCTGGTGGAACTCTCTGCCAAACACCACCAGGGCCCTGCAGGACTTGATGCAATTCCGCAGAGCCTATAAGGCAGAGATGTTCTGTCAGACTTTTGGTTGAGGGCATCAACAGTCTTGCCATCTTTTTCGTCTTTCCCTCATTATGCCCCACTTGCGAGGAGGTGACATGGTCCAGAATGAGTTTTTAAGGATCAGATTAATTATGCCATTTTTGAGACTATTTTAAGAATTTATTGAATGTATTTATTGAATCTATGAATTTTAACTTGTGGTCAATGATCCCGCTAAGCTGTGGAGTCTTGTGAGCAAAAACTCTACTTCGTGAGCTACTGGCATTAAAGTTGTGAGCGAGTGATTTGGCCACTGCACAAACTAGTTTGCTCTGGAGCCCTCCTTCCTGAGCTAAGACAAAAATGTGTGAGCCGGAGGCTAAAAAACTGCGAGCTAGCTCACACTAACTCAGCTTAGAGGGAACACTGCTTGTGGTACTTGATTGGTACACAGGGATTGGGCAATTTATAAATCTAAAATATAAATAAATAAATAAACATTTTCACAAAACTTGTACCCAGTGAGATGATTCTACCTCCTGCTGTTACTATGTATTTTATGTGGTGAAACTAGTAGTATGGGTTACTCCGTTAATTTTTTAAATTCCTTTTAGGTGATTACAGCTGCTAGGCTGCATTGCAATTTAATGATCAGTCAGACACTAGAGAAACAAAATGTTTGGCTAAAAAGCAGTCTACAAATATAATAAATAAAGATTTGCATTGAGGTCAGCCTACTTTAAAAAAACACAGAGTGCACACTATTAATTCCACACTTAGTGAAATCAACACAGCATAGCTGATATCGATTCTAGCGTGAATGAAAAATTGCTTTGAACGTTATCCTGAACACTGGCTCCATTTCAATCAGCTAAAAAGCAAAGTTATCAGTGGCAATGCAGAGACTTCAAGACCCTTAAAATGGCAATTTTTAATTTCCCCTCTCTAATTCTTTGGCAGTTATAACTTCCTTGGAAACATATGTGGTCAACATACCTGGTGCCTTGGCCTTATGCAATCCTTCCCTAGGTGTTCCACTGAGAAAAGAAGCATGCTTTCTTTTAGCCATCACAGTCCGGGGAGGCATGTACTCGCGTTTGCCTTGTGATTTTGCAAATGATTTTTGAACATCATATGAGCCTGGTGGCGGAGCTTCCTGCAATATTAAAGAAATGGAAGTGTCTGCTGAAATACTGTGAAGCTTAGTGTGCATGTTAAAGGAAGCACAATAGTAACTTGATTGGAAATAGATGACAGGAAGCAAAAAAAGCATCTGTTACCAGAAAGATTTACTGCCAGTTCGCAAGAGCTAATGTGCTGACAAATAAGTATTTAGGATGGGCTGCAATGTGACCACTCTGCCAAGGGAACCCATGTTAATTGCACTGAAATTGTGACTTAAACAATGTTGCCACCTTCAGACAGCATCATTAGTCAACACTGCTATGTTTGCAACAGTCACCATCACTAGAGGAAGAGACAGATTAAAGGACTGGCAGACATTCATCTCTGCAGAATTACAAAAGGCCTATTGAGCACCACCGATACAGAGACATTGGGACAATCCTGCACACTGGGTAGCTGGAGGTAAGCAGGGCTCTTTTTGTAGAAAAAGCCCAGCAGGAACTCATTAGCATAATAGGCCACACCCAACAGCAAGAACTCATTAGCATATTAGGCCACCCCCTGACAGCACCGCTCATTAGCCCATTAGGCCACACCACCATGTTACCAGAAGTGTGGTCATCCAGCCACACCCAACTTTCCCTTCTTATTCTGTTTACCTTGTTTGTGGTCAAAACCCAGGGGCTTTTTTTATAGCAGGAACTCCTTTGCATGTTAGGCCACACACCCCTAATGTAGCCAATCCTAATGAGTTTCTGCTGTTGGGTGTGGCTATGCTAATGAGTTCCTGCTGGGCGTGGCCAACTCAGGAGCCAGCCGGAACTCCGTTCCTGTGCGTTCTTGCCCAAAAATAGCCCTGGAGGTAAGCTTTGAGAATGCAAATTACAAGTAACAAAAAGGACAGAAAGTCAGACTGTTCTCATTTAGCAAAGTGCAAACCTCTTCTGGATGCCGTCCATAGCAGTGATCCCCAACATGGAGCCCATGGAGGCTACACTGCCCACTAGTGTGTTCTCTGGCTTCTTAAGTCTTAGAGATAAAATGCAAAAGTTCTTGAATAGAACAGGAGTGGGGGAAAACCAGGGAACTTCAGGACACTCTCCACCGGTTGACCTAGTATCAAAACTCTGAGTTTATTCTAAACAGAGCTGAATCACAACTGTGTGCCTGCAGCTTGGCCATAGTCTTTCATGTGTCTTCCAGCTTAGATTCCTTAGGCCAAATAGTATCTCTTTTCTAAGTCAACAGTTAATCCTGGCTTTCCTTTGCCTTTTGGAGGAGGAGACCTCACTTTTGGATCTACAGGAAGAGCCCATTCCGAAGGAGATCTCTCTGTTGTAAGGCAGCACTAGACTCAGAACCTTCTGACATTTTATGGATCCTCCGAACATTTTGTGAGTGGCTCCATTCCCATGGGAGACATTTCGTGGAGGCAGCCACTACCCTTTCTCAACATTCCAAAAGGACCTGTACGCTCAGCAAGCTTAGAGGTTCCCAGTCAGGGTGCTTCTCACTTTTAAAAAATTTAAAAACACTTTAAATACAACTCACCGTTCTTTATCACTATAAACAGAGATTGAGAAAAATAACAAACAAACCCAGAACTCATTACTTTCAAGAACAAATGTGTGCTATAGGCAGAAGGAATACAACACTGTGCAGTGGGTGTCTTACATTAATAAGTTTTAATTTATCTTTTTTTTAAGATAGGTGATTATTTACATTTATATACTATGTGTGAAGTGATAATGTATTTCCTTATTCAGCAATTCTTAATCTAACAGCTCTCGTTTCATCCCAATTGAAGAGTGTTAATTTATTATCTAAGATGAACATGTTTACTTCAAATTTAATAGTTTCCAATTAAGCCAAAACATTTACTCTTCCATCATTTATAAACTCTTTCTGCTAAGTTGCTAAATTAATATTTTTAATCAACATCAAGGAAACATTAGTATTAATAACAACGGTAATAATTCTAGGCTAACTATCAAATGGTGTAAGTGCCAGACTTAAAACACAACTGCCTTAAAACATCAGATACGGCTTCCATCTGAACATCCACATTTTAGACTCTCCTATTCTATGTGAAAAACCAATCCTAGTTGTGAGGTGCCTTACTGTAAATCGGGAAAGGGGAAAGGAGAGGACCAAGAAAATATGTTTTGTACTGGTACCCTGGACTCATTACTGGGCTATAAAACCCATCCCCAGAGCCAACAAAGAAACCATCAATTTCAAAGAAGCCGTGCCTTCTAAATTGGAAGTACTTCAGGTCAATGATTCACATTTAGTGATCTGGATCCAGTAAATCAACCTTCCTGATAGGTTCCCTACTTTATTACATTGGTACATTGAATGATGTGCAAGCCTCCCGAATTTCCTAGCATTTGATTTGCCTAGAAGATTAATTTCCTCTGCTGTGTGGCAGTTGTTTTATCCAGGCCTCACTATTTTATTTTTCTATTAAAAAGGAAAACATTCTTATTGATCTCCTCAGCCGCTTGTGACGTAACAACTACCGTAACCCTGACAGCGAGCACCCTAAGCCAGTGGGTCTCTAACAAAGACAAAACATATTTGGAGGGTCCCAGCAGTGAACTGTCTGGAAGCCATAACAAGCCCTCCTTCCATCCCTTTATACAAGTCACTTCCGGCAAAAGAAGTGAGCATCAGATTCTCTTGGGCTGGTGATATTATTGGGCAACTGACGTGCCATTGTCTCATATCCCAAATATTTCAGCATTTTTCTTGCTTATGGCTGAGCTAAGCAGCATCAGAGATCAAATATCATCTCCATCTTCAAATTCGTGACAAGCAGGGACAGAAAACTTTCAGTGCTGTCAGATACTGTAATGAGAATCCAGGCACAAATCAATAGTTAGCCGGGCGGGGAGACTGTCAGCACAACCAAGTCACTTGCTTCCATGGCACTGAGCTACGTATTTATTCATTTAAAGATGCATATAGAGTTTCAAGGACCGTCACATACAGAGTGCATTAATGTAATGTAATCCGGGAGGTGCCCTGACCTGGACGGCCCAGGCTAGCCTGATCTTGCCAGATGTGAGAAATTAAAGAGAGTCTGCCCTGATCAGCACGTGGATGAGAGGCCATCAAAGATGTCCAGGGTTAACAATCATTAACAATAATTATCGTATGGCAGTGTGTGTAGTATGGCCAGGAGATCCTAAAATTGTCTGGCAGCTAGAAGTTCTAGCTCTTTTAGCATTATGCACCACCAGGTGGTGAGCTAGACTTGTTTTTAGGGCAAGAGACATTCCAGAGGTGGTTTGCCATTGCCTGCCTCTGCGTCACGCCCCTGGTATTCCTTGGAGATTGCCTATCCAAATACTAGCAAGGGCCGACCCTGCTTAGCTTCCGAGATCTGACAAGAATGGCCTTGCCTGGGCTATCCAGGTCAGGGCAGTTACAGGGTTACTACGCAGAGGACAGGCAATGGTAAACCGCCTCTGAATGTCTCTTGCCTTAAAACCCCTATGGGTTCACCACAAGTTGACTGCCACTTGACGGCACTTTCTACCCCCAGTCTGGGAGTTACAGAAACATGGCTCACCCTGCCTATTCACCACATCAATATTACCAGGATTCAAGTCCTGCCATTCACTACAGTTAAGGTTTTTCTACCACTCACAGCACAAAGTGTATTTAGTAATTTCCCCCTTCCCCACCAAGCATTCTTCATTCAAATAAAGTAAATACTGGTGAATTCTAGAATGAGGGTTTTTTTTTTTAAGTATGCCTTATCTTAAAGTATTAAACATACAGGGAAGAAACCACTTTACAGTAATATGTCACTCTTCTCCTACTGCAGTATGTGGTTGCAATTGTTTCAATTTACTGTCTCAAAATGCTCGAGGTGTGATGGAATGGTTAAAAATACAAATGTTAATCACACTTCAAATTATACTAAGAAGCAGTGCACCCATTAAATATTTTGTATATATTGTAAAATTAAAACTTGTTTTTCATCTACTAGGTAATTTTCATGCCTGGTAAATCAGCCCTCCAGATTGACAGCATGTCTTGGAAGTAATCAGGTATGCAATTTACAGTTTAAGACTTTATAGTGCTTCTAGTATTTACTTTAGGCTGTATATATTATAAAGCAAGGTGAAAACTCTCGCCAGAATTCTCTCTATTCCAAAATGGTATAGAACATTAAACCAGAAAGAGACCATATGGGTAAAGATTCGATACAATTTCCAGGTATCTATATTTTACCCAACAACTGTATTTTATAGCCTCACATCAGTACCTTATTAAGGGCTTGAGCTACACTCATGTCCAAATACACAGGCATCAAGAACAAGGAACTAGATGCACAATTCAAGGCTTGGACAACATGTTCAGAGATCAACTACACCTTAGGATGGGTCCAGATAGTTTGTCAATTGGAAAAAAGAAAGGGGCCCCACTAACCACCCAAAAAGGCTACACTGGTGCTCACGGGACCTACATGAAGCTGGCTGGATCCAACCTCTTACATAAGAGATCCAATCCTTTTTTTATTTTTTGTAAAGTGCAGCAAGAAGGACAAGGACTGCCAATTTAAGAACAGAAGCAATAGGATGGAATGAGTTTTAAACCCTTTTTGTGTTTGATCACTTTATTTATTTAAAATATTTATACTCCCTTTCTCCTGAGAATCCCAGGACCAAAGGCAGGTAACAATAAAAAAGAAGTCAATAAAATGAACAACCAAATATAGAAACTAGGGATGGGCACAAACCGGTTAATGAGCCAAAATCTGGCATGAACTTCGCCCTGTTCAGAGCCTCCAAACCCATGTTCAGGAAGGCACCATCCCGGAACAGCTACTGGACTTTTGTCCAGTTTGGCTGTTCAGGCCATTTAAACCTGACAGCCGAGTGGCACAGGTCCGCAGCTGACCTGTTAGGTTTCAATGGCTGTGAGCCATTTTACTGGTCGGTTTCACTTCCCCCTACTTCAAAATGGGGGGGGGAGTGAAACGGACAGCTAAAACAGTTGGCAGCCATTTCAGCCTAA